GGACTTCTGAGCCCTTCCAGGTCCCAGAACAGAAATGGGTGCACACCACGTTCAGGGTTCTGCTCGCCTTTCTTGCTCTGAACCTGCTGTCCCCTGTGTTGGTGAGGCAACCTTCACAGCAAGGCTCAGGGACATGGTCCACGTGCTGCCTTTCCAGCTCTTTCATCTGGCTTCCTTGGGAGGTCTCCTGTCATCGCTGAAGTGGGTGGATTGCTGTGAACCAGGGCTGGGAATCCGCTGGTTGTCTGAGAGATCTCTGATTTCTTGGGTTGAAGGACGGGAGGCTGCAGACTGGAGACCACATCCTGGAGATCGGCGGCACCGACGTGAGGGGCATGAGCAGCGAGCAGGTCGCCCAGGTGCTGAGGACCTGCGGGAGCGTGGTCAGGATGCTGGTGGCCCGAGACCCAGTGGGCAGGACCACAGGGACACCCCCCACGCCAGTCACCTCGCCTGTCGCCCTGCCCACTGCCCTGCCTGCCTTGTCCAGCAAGAGCCCTGCCACAGTGAGTACTCGGGCATCACAGGGCTGTACCTGGGATGGGCAGGTAGGGCTAGCCTCGAGAGAGGAGACCAGGAGAGGATCAGGGACAGCCTCCCTCCTTGTGGGGCATCGCTGGGGCAAGTAGTGATGCCTGGCCTACAGGGACAGATCACCCACAGGTGTGCAGTAGGGCTCCTAGTTGCTGGCCTCTGTGCAGCTCTGTGCTGTCCTGTTATGATTTGTGTCTAGTTGTCTCCCTTAAAGCCTCACGCAGTCATGGGGCAGCTTCTGGAGTTTGGGACTGATTGTTGTGGGTGTGGATGCTGCACCTCCCCTGGGGCAGGTAATTTGCAGTATGCTGTAAGGTGGAGAGAGAGGCTCTCTGCTGCCTGAGCCGCTGCCGCTCCCTTGCTCCTGCTCTTTGCCGCCGCCATGAAAGGTCGCTCTCTGCCTTGTGCCACTCTGCCTTGGAGCCAGCTGAGTATGGACTGACACCTCCAGTGACTGAGATAAATAAACCTTTCCGTCCTTCATTTTGGGTGTCAGGTATTTGTCCCAGCAAGGAGAGAAGAGCACCTGAGACCCCTGTGATTGTGGCCAGGGTCACCACGCCTCCACAGCCCGGACTCAGCAAGCGGCTTGTGCCGGGGCGGAGCGAGGCGTGGAAGCTGGAGTTGGACCAGGGCTCTTACAGCTTTCTTTGCAAGCACAGAAAGACGGATGCACAGCAAGGGGTCTCGGAGGGCAGGGTGACTGTGGCGGGGGCGCAGGAGGCCCCAGTCGGGCAGGCGGCAGCTGTGGCCTCACTGGGTCTGCAGCAGGGCTGTCTGTCTTTTCCTCCTGCCAACCGCACACATGGGATTTCCTTCCACTGTGTTGGCCCACAGGCATCGCAGACCTTCCTGCTTCCTGGTCTCCTTCCACTCCCCTCTCTCTGCCCTTCCTGGACTGGAAATTTTCCTTTTGCCTTTTTTCTTTTCCTGTGGTGCAGAGGATGGAACGCAGGACCTGGTGTGTGCCAGGCACATGCTTTACTGCTGAGCTGTATTTAATTTTGAGATGGGTCTGGCTAAGAGTGTGGTGGCGCACACCTATAATACCAGCACTGTGGGAGGCTGAGGTGGGAGGATCGCCTTGAGTTGGATGCCAGCCTAGATTATGTAACAAGAGCCTATCTCAAACAAACAAACAAACAGTTTGGAGCCAGAATGGGGAACTTAGTAAGACCCTGCCTCTGAAGTAAAAGTGGCTAAGGATGTCGCTCAGGGTTCACTGACTTAGTCCCCAGCGCTACCCAAACTCCTCTTTATCCAGAGTGTGGCTGCAGCTGTTTTATCCTCTTCTGCTCTAACCCTAGAGGTTTCTTTTTGTGAGGCCCTGAGGGTGGACGAGCCGGTCAGTGCTGTTCCCTCTGGAAGGCAGGGTGCTGTGTGCCTGGATCTGCATTTGGGACAGAGATTTCAGAACTTTTGGGTCAGTCTGTTCTGCAGAACTCACAGCTGCTGACCTGACCTCTGTTTCTGCACAGTCCTTTATGCGGTGGTGCTTTCAGTGCAAACGTCCCCACTTGAGGTCTTCCCAAGCGGCGGCCTTAGTTGTCTGTGGTTCTGCAACGAACTGCAGGCACGGCAGCCTCACAGGCGCCTGGGCTGGTTCGTGTTTCTGTGGTCAGAACTCAGCACAGGTCCTGAGCGCAGCCCAGCCCAGGGGCTGGCCTGGCTGACTGCGACCCTGGACCTCGGGCTGGGGCACCCGGTTCCTGCAGCTGTTGGCATGGGGCCCTTTCCTGAGCTGCTCGCCAGCCCTGAGATCTCCCCCCACCCAGCCCAGGCCCCATGTCCTGCCCCCTCTTCAGATCCGCTTCTCCCGCCTGCAGCGGGAGCTGCCTCTGCCTCCGAAGGCGCATGGCATTGGCGAGTTTGTTTCCCTCTGCCACCAAGTGTCCCAGACAAGGGCCACTCCGGGGGCCAGTGGCTATAGGAAGCATCCTAAAATTCTGCTTACTACAGAAAAGCCGGTGACTCTAACACACTAACTGCGGACTCAGTTGCGTGGTCAAACGTACAGCCAAGCCTGCTCTTTCCTTCTAGGACGGTTCTTCACTTTTTGAAACTTACAATGTTGAACTCATTAAAAAAGATGGACAGAGCCTTGGGATTAGAATTGTTGGCTATGTTGGAACATCACACGCAGGTAAGCAAATAATTTCTCTCCTCTATAGGAATTGTGAAGGATATTGAGGTTTCTTAGTAAAATTAAATAATGCAGGTTTTTAATTTAATCCTTGAACAATAATAGCATGAATCTATAATAGCAGCCAGTTAGTTTTCAGGGATTAGAGAATCGCATTTTCATCTCAGTAACTTAATAGTTGCACTGAAAGCTGTTTAAAAATTTTTTAACTTTTTTTTTTTTGAAAAAATGTGTCTTGTCTAGTGCCTAACATTTGAGTTCTACCTGCTGTTGACTCTGAACGATGTATCTTTACTATCGTAACTCTTAACTTTATGTTCCACGGTCCCGCGTTTGTGATGAAGTATGTAGTGTTGCACGTTACACGAGTGTTACATGTGATCACTAAAAAATGATAAAACAAGTATTTCTTTAAAATTATTTTCCTTAAAAAAATTATTTTCCTTTCTTGTGAAGGAAGTACATGAAAGTAAAATAAAAATGTGCAAATAAGCCCATGGCTCCAAACAAAACTGAATGCGTCGCCTTCCGCTCTCACCTGCAACTTGGACCTGTAGCGTTAGCTTTGGTAGCCTTCCCAGCAAGAAGCTTCCTTTCATTGTAAGAGAAACACTAGCAAAAGGAGAAGTAAATCTTTTCGTAAGTTTTTGCTAGCTACACGAAGATTCAGTTGTGAGGTATTTTAGTTTCCATAAAAAATAGCAGGGTTTGAGCATCAGTTTCCGTGAACAGTTATCCTGCCTCCGCGGCAGGTGGGAACATTAGGTCGCTAATGTATTCGCAGGCCGGTGACATTCCTGTCACGCTGGCTCGTGCTATTTTAGCCTCATGAAACACATTTCCTCAGACCTTCATGTTCTTCTGAGTGCCGTTTTTTAGGTTCAGAATTGAAATAAGTTCCTAAAGTTGAAGTATAGGTTTTATCACAGGGTTGTGGAAAGCACACCGAGGAGCTGTCAGTGTGTTGTGTCCAGTTAACAGGATCGTAGTTCAGTTCTAAGCTTATGGCTTGGCTCCTACATAAAAATGAATGACTGATAGAAAGTTGAGAACATTTGATGTTTATGTTACTGAATGGAGAAAACAATCATTTTTGTTTCTTCAGCCTTCAAGTGTTGAGGTCTAGGTGGTTTGGGGAGATGGTCAGACGAATCCAAAAACTAGGCTATTTTCAAACTCAGTCTGCTTTGTTGGTGGTGCCGAGAATGAAGGCAGGGCCTCGGGCACGCGCTCTGCCACAGCCCCACCCGTCACCTTGCAGATCGCATCAGCCCTTTGAGGGGCTGCTTCACGTAGTTAGTGCCGGAGAGGTGGATGTGAGAAGAGCCTGGGCTGCCAGGCACAAGGGTGTAGGCTCAGCTACCAGGGAGCCTGCTGGGGGACACAGTGACACCCTGTGCCCCCCAAATAGTGCAGAGGAAAGAAAAGCCTGGCTAGAGAGACAGACGCGTACCCTGGAGGAGACTGAGGTGCCCAAGAATCCCTGAAGGGTGCGTCCCCACGTGGATTTGTATTGTCACAGTGTTGCAGGGGAAGGATTGATGAAACAGAAGGAAATGAGGATTCACAAAGCAGGAGGCGCCTGGGCCGGGAGTGAACAAAAGATGGGACAGAGAGGCTAAGGTTGCTGGCAAGAAAGAATCCTGCGCGGAGGCGCTGCGTAGGAAGATGCTTGTGCTGGGGGAGGTCAGATCTGGGGTGTCCGCACTTCTGTTGAGGAGATACGAGAGAGATGGTGAAGAAGCCATTGTGTTTCAGCTTCTGGAGCACCTTGGATGTGAGTCTGTGAGGTTTGTGTGTTTTATGTAGGCGAGGGAAGCCACGGGGAGTGTTTCCCTTCTGCACTGTTTTGAGTTCACCTGAAATTAACAAGCTCGAGGTAAAGCCACCCAGAGTTGCTTCCTTTCCAGTGCTTTCCAAAGGACTGTGTGTTTTGGGTGGAGTTGTGATCGGAGTCCTTTTGCAGTGGGCGGATGAGGGGCCATCGGTGGCAGAGCCCCTTCCGGTTCTCACTGGTTGCTTTTCCTCTCTCCGGGGCGTGGGGGCTGCTGCGGGGACGCCGTCCGCTGGAGAGGACCTGGGCTGCGCTGAGTCGGTGCCTGTCCAAGCCCAGGGCAATGCTTCTCAGAGGAGCAGAGTTGATCCTCTGTGTTCCTTTGGGTAGCTGTGAGTGACAGTGGCAACAGCCCACCAGCCTCTCTGCCTGTCCCCAGTGCTGTTGGCCACTGGCCTCTGAGTGACGCGGCGCCCTCAGGGCCCCCACAGCACTCTTCCTCTCCCCGCCCCCAGGGGAGCCCACGGGCATCTATGTGAAGAGCATCGTGCCTGGCAGTGCCGCGGAGCATAGCGGCCAGATCTGCGTGGACGACCAGATTGTGGCGGTGAGTCCCTGCCCCTTCCCTGGGCCCGAAGGAAGCTGCTCCCTAGGGGAGGGGCATGGTGTCATCAGGAAAAGCGGAGTTTACTAACAGGGTGAAGTCCACCTAACTTAGATTGGCTGGCTGGCATGCACCTGTTATCCCAGCGCTAGGGAGGCTGAGACAGGAGGATCACTATGAGTCCAAGCTGCATAGTGAGACCCTGTACCAAGCACATGCACAAAAATTAATTAAGTAATTAAAGAAATGCACTCACTTGTCTTCTGGTGCCTACATGTGTGCTTTTTTCTCAGCCAGTGAAGAAACAATGCAGTAATCATGGCAGGAAGCAAGATATGTGATTTTGAAAGTTCTCAAACTCTAGAAAACTCTGAGTTTGTGCACTTCTCAGGGCTGATGCCTGTGCCTCTCTGTCCCTTGGCTCCAGGTGGATGGAGTGGACATCCAGGGCCTGGCCAGCCAGGACGTCGTGCAGGCGCTGCAGGCTGCAGGCCGTGTGGTGCATCTCACCCTGCGGCGCAGGAGGACAGCAGTGCCCCTGTCCGAGCAGCCTGCTGAGAGAGGTAACTAGGGTTGGCTCCCTGAAGCGGGACGGTGTGGACAAAGAGGGTGCATGGAGGCGCTGCTGGCCTGGGCGCCCTGCCCAGGAGTCGGGCTGTGACAGGAGGGTGCCTGCTCTGCCTGTGGAGCCATCGGCCCCTCCAGCTCACCAGACGGGCCTCCACCAGGAGGCCTGCAGCCTAAGGAGGCTTCACCTCTGCCCCGTCCAGTCTGACCATGACAGGACCTCAGGCTTTGGCCACCCTTGGCAGTGAGTGGGCTTTGTTCTAATCTGCATTGATTTGTTGTGTGAAGACTAGTGAAGGAGTAAAACAGGAGTTTATAATCAAGAACACTTTTAGTTGTGAATAGTTTTTGTTGTAAATTTGATTATAGAAACAGCAAATCTTCATGTTGGGAGAAATACATGAAATAATTGCATGCATGAACTTCTAAATTTCAGTTTGTGAGCGTATTATATGTTGCAGGAGGGGGCAGCAGGATGTGACTCAAAGTGAGAGGCCAGTTAGTAATGGTCAGAGAGCAGGATTTCTATATTAGCGTTTGCCAGAGATGGATAAATGGATCAATTTTATAGCCCACTGGAAAAACTTCTCTAACAATACGAACCTGGAAGGCTTTGCTTTCAACCAAAATTGATTTCTATTGAAACCTTTTTGTGTTTTTGTTTTTGGTACTGGGAATCGAAACAGAATTCAGGGTCTTTATTTTTTAGGACAGGATCTCACTAGTTGCTAGGTAGCCCAGGCCGGGACTCTGATTCGTAATCCCACCTCACCTCCCAGAGAGCTGGCATTGCAGGCCTGGGCCATTCCAGG